TATACAATCACTAATTCTTCAATACGTACATAAGAGCAAATACTAAACACATTATACAAAGGCCTAATACATAAAATTTAAATCCAACAGTACGATACATCATTTTGAAAAATAGGAAAACATATATAATAAACAAGATAATGGTAATTATAAGTAATGGATCAAACATTTTTTTTTTCTTATAAAGAAAATATATTTTGAGTGTTTGTATTATGAAAATGAATTGTAGTGTTATATATAGATATTGGTAAATAGCCATTACAATATAGCCGTTAACTAGCCGTTAGAAAAAAAAATTAATGATATAATATTTGCTAATTAATCATTTATGATCATAAAATTCTAATTAATCATGTATATTACCTTAAAGATTTTTCTGAATTATTTGATGAATATTTTCGCGAATATAACAAAGCAAATAAAAAAATGTCCCACATTATTTGATAAATTTTACGGTAAGTACAAGAATAAACAGTTATAAATTTCACGCCACATCGGTAAACCATTTTTATGGGTGTTAAGTATAAATAATAACATTTATTACAACTTGAAAAATAATTCATAAGCAAATTTAATAATATCATATCACCACATATTATTGACTATGGCATAGCCTAATTTGCCAATAATAATGGTAACGTGTAGATAATATCATATTTAGTATACATATCTCGACTGTGGCGGTGCCTAACTTGTCAAGAATAATGGTAATATATATATTTTTGACTGTGGCAGAGCCTAACTTGTCAAAAATAATAGTAATATGTATATATATCCTTGACTGTGGCAGAGCCTAACTTGTCAAGAATAATAGTAATATGTATATATATCCTACCTTTCTTGACCGGGTAGAGCGCTCGTGCTGATAACGTGTTATAAAATACGGGGAATATAAAGAACACAATGTAAAAACCGGATCAAAATTATAACAAGCTTTCTCTCTTCCTTTCTCCTTACTTTTTCGTACCAATTTACAATGCTGAAGATGCCTTTTTATAGGCAAAATATTTGGCACACACTTCAAGATAAATAATTTATTAATAGTGGTTATTCCACTTGCTACAACAATATATATATATATAAAATGTATTATAGCATAGTGGCTCTAGCTTGGGTTGGGCCATTAGATGGATCTGTTCTATAACACTATTATTGGGCCGTGAATGAAAATTGCTAATCACCATAATCCAATCCAGAGAAGGTAGGATTTGGGGTGTAAATTTTCATCCGCTGTGCGCTTTGCATTTGCTTGCCTTGTTCGTTAATCTTCGGGCGATAGGCTTCGGGCGGAGATGAGAATTCTGTCGACCAATGTTTTGGGTAACGCCAAATCCAAACTCAAGTGTCTCTCGTCAACCTCGTATTCGACTGCGTCTCGCGTTAAATCTCAGGCACATGTGCGGCGGGGTTTTGCTGTGGATCCCAACAACAAGAACAACGACGATGACAAGCTCCGGTTTCTGTTCATGTACTTTGTCAAGGATATCAGGCATGCTTCGGTAATTTCTGCTGAAACCTCGTGGAAAATAGATGAACTCCGCTCGAATAACTTCATTATGTTCACGCCCCAAGTCGTCAGATTCGTTAAAGCTTTGGGCTGTAGATATGATATTACCGCCAGTATCGACGAGCTGATGTTGGTGTGCAGCTGGGACGCACAATGGTTAAGGAAACATGATATTCTTTGGAACCCCACTAGCCAAGAGATACAGATAATTCCTCCTTCCCCCTACTGGAAACGTCACTTCACGGATATGTTATTTGGCTTGGGGTTTGATCCCGCCAAGCCTCGGGGCTATAAGATTCTCAAGATTCTCATAGACTACTGTAATTTCGATGCTCCTCCGGAGTTCAGAGCCGAACTCTACTCACTCGAAACCGGTTCTTGGAGGAAAATCAAGTATCCTTACCAGCAAGAGGGCATGCCGACTAGGGAAAGCGTTCGCATAGGCGGCTCTTATTATTGGGGACTAAGTGCCAGGCCTAATTCCATCATCTCATTCGACTTTGCCAGTGAAAAGTTTTCCCGTCGCCTAATTCCTTTTCCGGGGAAGATTAGATATAGAGATCCTGAATATCTTCTAGTTGAGCTTAATGGCTCGCTTGCTGTTCTTCTTATGACGGATGACTTTGGTTATGACCAAGTGCCTTATTCCACTCTCGAAATCTGGGTGTGGCATGATGAGTCGTGGTATCTAAAGTCCAAATTCAAGTTCCCTGTTGCCGTTGATCATGTTCTGGGCCTCTTTGAGAATAATAAATTGTTTGTCCGGGACATCACAGGCAAGGTGCTACTTTTCGATGTTGCAGAGCCCAGATCGGTGGAGATCACAGGCATCTGTGCTGATTCTAAGGTAGTTTCGATTATGCCGTATGTTGAGAGTTCTGTTCCACTCAATGCATCAGAATAATTGGTGCTGGTGGGGAAAAACCAATTATCATGTATGATCTTTTGGCACCTTTCTTTCATTTTAGCATTTGTTGTGTTTTGTGCATTTGTTTTGAGTTTTCGTTTTAGCATCTGTTGGTCAGATTTTGGTCTGTTTGCTTTCGATTCTTGTTTGATGCTTCCTTTTCATTCAAATAATGCAATTTTAATTTCTCAATAATTTTCTCAATGTTTTGCCCTGCATCTCAATCTCAATTAGTAAAAGCTTCAATACACTTTGTGATACATTGTTTGGCAGATGTGAACTTGTTTGTTGGCCATGTGTTGCTGCCAAATTTGGATTACGAGGCAACGATAAGATTTAACAAAAGACTTGTATAAAAACTGGTATTTTATGTTTAAGGAAGGCTTCATCGTCATTCGATTCTATTTCGGTAAAGATGATACACACCACAACAGCATTCGATGGAGGTCCTACAATTCGCCAAAGAAACTAGTTATGGTCTTATAGTTCATGATTATGAAAAATTGAGGTCATATGGTTCACAAAAGAAAGCAGTTTTATATGATCTTGTAGTTCATCAAAGATATCAGGTATGAAAAAAAAAAAA